TAATCTAGCATATATTGAAATCGAAATCATAACAAAAAAAAAGCTTAGATAATACCTTTCAATAGTTGTAGGAATCCTTGATCTTCAAGAAGCTTAGTGTCACAAGTGTAACACCTCTAATGGCTTACAAACACCAAAAGCAAGAGGATGATCTAGAAGAGAGAAGGAGAAAGGCTAGATTTTAGCTATAGTAACCTTATGGTTTCTTTGTCTAGCCGAAACTAAAGCCCTGGGGTTCCTTATATAGCTGAGCATCTAGGGTTTCAGTCAAAATCCTAATTGGATGACTTAGGCCCTAAGCAGCTTAGGAACCTTCTGGAATAAGGCCTCTATGGCTGAAATTAGAGTGGGCTTCCACTCCTAATTTTGTCCCCCTTATGTCCAGGAAGATCCATATCCCAAAACCAACTATCACACAATTGACAGTTCTAGTCCTCTTTATTTAATTAATATCTTTTAGCAATAGAATTAATTCTTGTCTAATATTAATTAAACCATATGATTTCTCCTTTAATATATTATTCATATAATATATTAATAAACCATAATAACCTCTCTTTCTCTATAAATCATCATGTCAAGTTGCTTTGGGGAAGGCAACCCAAAAGGACCATGCACAACCGGGTCAAGTACATACCAAATATAGTTAGGAGCTTAGATAGTAATCCAACAATATGTGGATGTGTGAGGATGTTTGGGTTGAGGTGATCCTATTGTGTGTAGAAGAACAATAGACCCAGGGTAGCCCAGATAGACTGAAGGCCTGTGTGGCGGACCAGTCAGGCTGAAGGCCCGTAGAACAGGCCAGACAGGCTGAAGGCCCGGTGTGATGGTCCAGACATACTGTAGGTTCTGTATGCATGTTGTTTCTGTTGATATCTATGATTATGTATTGTGGTGATATTTTGGGGAAACTCACTAAGAGTTAGGCTTACAGTTTTGTGTTATGTTTCAGGTACCTTAGATGATCGTGGGAAGGCAAAGGCTTGATCGTGCACCTTTTCATGTTATGTTTTTAGGATTTAGGGAATAACTTTGATGATGAATATGTTTTAGAAACTACAATGTAAATAATTATTATTTTGGTTGGTTTGAAAAAGTTTCAATTTCCTTGAAATTTTATGAATGTTACAATCCTATTTAATTACTAGGTTTGAGGGAAACCTAAAAGGACTTTAGTAATAATTGAAATATATACTAATTCAGTTATTGGCTTAGACACCTAATCCAACAGTTTATATGTATGTTAGGGGTATTTTGAGGAAACTCACTAAGCTATGTGCTTACTATTATCTTTATGTTTTTACGTACCTTCGGTTCGAAAGGGAAGGGTCCGGTTTGATCACAACGCATCCACCCATGTTTTTCTGCAAATTTATGATTTTGGAAATTGTACTCTGATAAATAATTCACTATGAGTCTATGACAGACTTTTGAATGGTTAATATGTGTTTCCGAGTTACGAGATTACTCTAATCAAGGTACTACTTTTTTGAGTTTTAGTTTTCTTAAATATTTTTATTTTGTCCTCTCATTTGTTTTCAATTGGTTACTCTTGGTTTTAATTTTCTATTTAGTTGTATCAGAAGTTTTTTCTACAAATGCTCTGGAACCTGCCACATAAATCCCTAAACTGTTTTTTAATTGAGATCTAGTTTACTTTGCCCTTTTCTCTTTCAAAGTGTCGTCAATTGTATATTGAATGTTATCTTCTACGTTTATTTTAAATAGTTTTTCAATCAAAACTTTCATAAAGTATGTAATCTTTATTTAATTGTAACCTAATGTTTGTTTTTATATTTATAGGAGAATACTCGTTTTTATTGCTTTTGACTATATAAATAAGACATGTATATGTTTGCTATTCCAATACAATTTTGAAACAAACAAATAAGCAAAAAAGAACTATTTTATGATATATTCATTTTATAGTGAGCTATTTATTATATAGGATATATACATTTTTAATATTTTGCCTTCATTTGAAAAAGACTAAACTGCAAATTTGGTACCTGTGGTTAGCAAAAAAATATGGATGGAATCCAAAATCTTTTCAACTTGCACCGTTGGTCCAAAATCAAATTTTTTTGTGGTTTTGGTCCCTGAAAAAGTTGAAAAGACTGTTTTACCCTTTTAATTTCTTTTTTCCATTTTTTTCCATTTTTATTCTTTTTAGTTTGAAATCTAATAATAATAAAAAAAAATTAGACACCCCACCCACCCCTCCATCCATCAGACACCCTCCCGTACCCCCTCTCTCTTTCTCAATCTCTCTCTCTCTCTCTCTCTCTCTCACACACACACACACACACTCTCTCTCTCTGTCTCTATCTCTCTCTCTCTCTCTCTCTCTCTCTGATCGCGTTCTTGCTTTCATCCTATGTTCCTCAAATCAAAGAAACCTTACACCTTCTATGATTACTATGAGCTAACACATCAAATCATTTATCCCTTTACCTCCATTCCAACATATCCATCTAAACATAAATGATTAAAGAGAAGGGGATAATTGATTAAATCGATATTGGTGCTTTGTAACTGGGTTCCATCTTCCCCACATCACCATTGAGTTCACACTAGACCTACATCACAGTTACCATCTTCTTCTCCAAGCTACCAGATCTACACATCAACCATCTTCATCACTATTCGCTAATATGCCCATATCACCATCTTCACCCTCTATCATCTCAATACCTAACTGCAAATGGCGGGACTGAGGAATCGAGCCAAGAAGAATACTCTCCCCAGTTGTGTCGGATGAGATACTGAAACAAGTCTATGCCCATCCTCTCATATTGGATCGATATCGAGGAAGGACGGTCGTAGAAGGGTTCTCGAACCTCCGTTATTCCTGATGCGATACAATTTTTGCAATACGAGGATCGATGTATTTTATTCAATTCCCTTTGTCCATCCTTGACATATTATTAAGGCTCTAATTTGCTCAACACAAACTTGAAAAATGGATGAACAACCCAAAAAATCCATTACTAGTTCTTGGAGGCAACATCCAATATCTTTGAAACTCATATATGAATGATGAAGATTAAATTTGAAAAACATCTCCTTCTTCAGATTAAAAACCCATCTCGTTCCAGGTTAAAGAAGACAGGATGAAGAGGATGAAGGTTGCTAACACAGATCCAAGCCATTTATCTAGGATCAAATGGGTTTTTTGTTTAACTGGGTTTTTTGTTCATATGTGTGTATGCGTTTTGATTTTTAGAAGATTGATGAAGAAGAAGATGGGAAAGAGAGTCAAAAAGAGAGGGAGGGAGAAGGTGGGGTACGGTGGAGATGAGTGGGTGAAATTTCATTTTCTGTTTTTTTTATAATTAATTAATTATTAAAATAAATAAATCAATGTAAAAAATGAAGGATAAGGGTAAAGTAGTCTTTTCAAATCTATCAGGGACCAAATCCACGGAAAATTTTTGATTTTGGACCTTCCATGCAAGTTGGAAACTTTTTGGACCTTATCCACATTTTTTGCGAAACCACAAGGACCAATTTTGCAGTTTAGTCTATAAAAAAAAAAAGAAAATTATGGATATATCTTTGTTTTGGCCCCTCTATTTATATGTATCGTGTTCCGCCCCTACTTATGAAAGATCTTGTATTGATTATAAGCAAGACACAATGAAATACTTTATAATTCAGTTATTAAAAATAGGCTCAATTTCAATTTTACATTAACAAATATAACTAGGATGAAAATTAAGAAATAACCTTTTGGTATTTAGCGATTTAAAAAAAAAAAGATAATGATACGTATTTTGGAAAATAGGAAAATTTTTAACAACAAATCTATCATGAATATATATTTATGTTCCAATAGTACTTGAACCCTCAATCTCAAGAAAGAATATTATTAGACATTTCACAATATAAAACTTGAGTAAATTACTGAAATCGTCCCTGTGTTTTGGCTAAAATTGCATACTTGGTCTCTAACTTTTATTTTACACTCGGATCATCCATGTGGTTTGATTTTGTTGCAGTTTTCGTCCCTGTGGTTTGGTCAAAATTACATGTTTGGTCCCTAACTTTATGTATGTAAGCGACGAAAAACACAACAAAATCAAACCACATGGATGAAAAATGCAACAAAATCAAACCACAGGGACGATCCGAATGCAAAAGAAAAGTTAGAGACCAGACGTGCAATTTTAACCTAACCATAGGGACTATTTCAGTAATTTACTTAAATTTTTTATGCCAAAATTTTTATATCCATCACCAACATCGCCACAATAGCATCCATATCACTATGATTTTTCTTGTGTCCAAGCTTCACGACTATCACCTTCCTCCTCCTCCTCTAAGACCCTTCCGTTCTTTGCTATTTTGTAGTGATCAATTATATAATCTAAATGTGATGTCAAAATCAAAGCTATAATCTATGACAATACGGATGATCATACAATGTTTATTATAAGAAAGCTATTGAGAAATTGACCTTATTTCCCATGGCCTCATATTCACCACCATGCTAACAGGAAGAAGAAATTCAAAAGCACACTTATCTTCCTTTATAACTACTTGGGGAAACCTCAATACTTGACCACTCATAATGCCACGTCAACATCACCAATAGTCCTTAGATAAGCTAATTCCGCTAGCTAGGGTTTTACCAGCATATCTGCAACAACCACTAAACCTAGCTGCCAGAAAAGGTGAAAACCAAATAATGGCACGTTTAAGTGTGATTTCCAATTGTAGAAAATCATTACATTATAACTGATTGCAAATTGTAAACCTAAATTTCATAACTTACGACTTATATAATGTTGAATATTATATACTACTACGTAAAATTAAATGAGCACCAAACTGGGGAGGAAGACTGAACACAAAAAATGGAGAATATTTGTAAGATGAAGAAAGTTCAAAGAATAATCGTTGCAGAATCTTCCCGATGGCTACTTTTGCTTCTATCATGGCAAAGTTTTGTCCTATGCAAATCCGAGGACCACCACCAAAGGACAAATAAGAAATCAATCCTCCACTCCTTCTGAGAATCTTTCAGGTTTGAAATCTTTTGCATCTTCTCCCCATATTTCATTGTCATGATGGACATGCATTATAGGTATGATTATGTGAACACCTGATGGTATCATCATGTCCCCTAGTGTTGTGTCCTTTGAGGTAGCTTGTACAACCATGGTTGCTGGTGGGTATAACCTAATAACCTCGTTTAATATCATGTTCATAATTTTGAGATGCTTTAGACCATCGAAATGTAGTTCTTTAGTACCAAAAACTTGCAAAATCTCTTGTCTGGCTTGCATTTGCCATTCTTGCTGCAAACTAAAACAAAACATGGTCCATATAATCAAACTTGAGGTTGTTTCGGATCCAGCAAAGTAAAATAGTTTGCATTCTTCGATTACATCTTCCATACTCATTCCGATTCCTTGTTCATTGATTTCTTTGGAATTTGATTCCAACAAAAATCAAAGTAAGTATTGAGAGCTACTTTCTCCCAACTTGATTGCTTTCATTCTCTTGTTGACTATTTCCCTTGCTATAGCTTGAGGCTGGTTGCGGTTTTCATTAAACTTCTTGTTTGCTCTTGTAGGTATAAACCTACATATGACACTAACCATTTAACATAAAGATTAAAAAAAAAAAAATCCAATTTTGGATAATGGATTGTATAGAATTGGAATCAGATATTCCATTATATGATGTGGTTAGTTGCTAGCTCAAATTAAATGGAATCTACATCAAGGATCAATTTAAATCTACTTGTTTTTTTTTTCATTAAACAACAAAAACATATTTTAAATATTTAATATCTTTTATAAAATGGTTATTGCTGTTTTTATTAAATAAATTATTCAAATGATAACAAACTCAATTTATTGTGTAAAAAGGTAATAAACATATATTTTGACATGTTTACTGATCGAGTCCTTTATTTATTTAGTCATTTTTTTATTTACGATTTGGCCGACTAAGTTTTAAACTTTTGTTATGAATTTGTTCCAAAATTGATTTACATATCGGCCTAATCAAATATTTTTTCAATTCATTTTATCATATTATTTAATATTTTTAAGACTTTTACACAAACTTTTTGTAGACTTTTTACAACCTTTTAAAACTATTTTTACAAAGTTTTTTACAAATTATTTCACACCTTTTTAAAAGAAAATTACAATTTTTTTATTACTTCTTTACAAGACTTTTTTAAATATTTTAAAACTTATTTTACATCATTTTTAAACATTTTTACAAAGTTTTTTTTGTATACTTTTTTACTAACTTTTTAAAACTAACTTACAATATTTTTTAAACCTTTTTACAACATAAGTATATTGAAAAATATAAGTAGAAAGTTTAAATGGTTTGGAACTTCATTAAAAACGTTAAAACGTACGAAAAATGTTTTGAAAAATGTATGTTGTAAAAAGAGTTTAAGAAGGCTTGTAAAAAAGTTTAAATGTTGGAAAAAAGATTGCAATTTTTTTTAAACTGTGATTTTAAATGTTATTAAAAAGCTTAAAAAGATTGTAGAAAAATTAAAAGAAGTTGAAACATTTTTAAAAAATGTAAATTTTTTTTTTATATAAAAAGCTCTATGAAATGTTTGTCAAAAAGTTTTTAAAAATTGTAAAATATAATAGTTTTTAGACAATTAAAAAAATCCAAAACGAATTTATAAAATAATTTAAAATTTGGATAAAAATTAAATATTCAAATGACCTTATATCAAAATACATAGATCTTAATTTTGTTGCCATTTTAAATAATAAATTGAGTTTATTGAGAATTTAAAGGCAATTTAACTAGTTTATTCAGTAAAATTAATGACAACCTTTTATAAAACACTAAGTGTGAGCCCCGTGTATTACATGAGTTGATTTTAAAAAATATTAAACATTTAAGTGTAAACGAAAAATATTTATTTTGATATTTTTTAATGTAAAACTTTAAAATAAGAAATAAAGAAATGTATTTATTACAATTTATTATCATATATATGATATTTAATACTTTACATATATAAATATATGATTTTAATTTTAAAAATTAAAACAAACCAAAAATTGACAAGTGGATAATATTTATTTCAAAAATACCACAAAATGATAAGTATCAAAACTCATGAGAGATTGACATGTGGCAAAAAAAAACTTCATTTATTAACGAGAATTTATATGCTTCTATCAATACAAAGAAGGCCATCGGGTTTCCCATAGCCACAGTGGGGATTTCCAACTCTGAACTCGTCGGGTTTTATTGAGGTCGAAGACATGAATTCTTATATAGATGAGAATTGATAAGTTTTGTAGTATCCGTCAATATTCATTCTTGTTTGCATTTCCAACCACCTTGTAATCTTATAGCATCTTCATGATTACTTTTCAACAAGTTCATTATTTTTTATATATATTATATTTCAAAAATTTTCAGTCATCAAATTTATTAAAAAATCTCTTATAATTAACCTTTTTTAATTTTATTTTCCAACAATCGAAAAATTAACATTTTTATATTCTATTGCTTTCGGCATATTTTATTTTTTTGGAAATTATTATCCGACCCAAACACCCATTTAAATTGGAATAATTATTACCCTGATCCGGGAAGATAGAGAATGAGCAACAATTGCATCACCAAAATCCATTTGTTCCTTTTGTATTTTAAATATTTTTTTGTCCTTCTTCAGAACCGTTAGAAGTGTTATTGAACGCTGCTCGTGAAATTACATTACCAGCTAAGGCTGGAAGGTGTGGTGCGGTTCCAAGGAGTACGTTTTCGCCACATAAGCAGCGAACACCGCCCCCTGTGTGCGGTTTGTGTGCGGTTTGGTACGGTTCAAACTACAGTGCGGCAAAAAATAGCCGTGGCTTGTGATTGAGTGTAGATAATTTGACTGTTTTGTAATTGGGCGGGGAGAAATTAAAATTTTTATTTAATTTTTTATTTTTTAAATAAAGTGTGACACCACTCCTTGTGTGTGGCAAGAAACCGTATTTTTATGGTAAAAATGACGTGGTGCTTACGTGACAACGAAAGGAGTACGGTTTCAATGGCATCATTTCCTCTAGTTTAAGTTATTAATATACGGCCACACATCAACATCAACAACACCATTTCCAATGGCTAAGCAATTCCCATTTTCTAATCATTTCATTACAACTCAAACGAATTGATGGGAACATACTCTACAAAGTACAAACAAATCAAGCAAAAATATTAATTTAAAGATAAAAACTAATCAATAGTAAAAAGTAAACACAACAAACATACCTTAGTACTTTCGAGATGAAAAGCTGGATTGATTATTTGACGATGTTTGACCCATTTGTCACCATCTGAGATTACAAGTCCACCCACAATGCTATCTTGTTGTGGCCTTTGAAACTCGTTGGGTCTTGATAATATCTCTTCGATTAGATGTGGATCTCTGACAAAAACTCTTGGGGTCGGCCTAAACCATATATACGATTTTTTTTACTTGATATACAGACAACAAACAGCATAAGTAACTAATTTAAAGATATAAAAGACTTAGTTGTAAACAAATATTTTATCAAAAAAGATCTTTACATTAAATAAATAGCCAACCAAATTCTTGTTAGTTAGTTTTCTAGCGATCCGATTTGATCCAAACAAGCTAAACCTCTTCATAAAACATATTATTATTATTTGTAATGAACTTTTACTATTTTAAGATTACTAAAATATTGTTTCATGGGAAAACAACATAAAGTTTGATTATTTTTTTATTTTTAAAGTTATAGTAAAATTTTCTTTTCATTCTTAGAAAAAAATCCCGATTCTGCTTAATTATGTTTTCAGGGCATCTATCAAATAAATTTATAAAAATAAATGAAAACATGGGTTGAGGGAGAAATGAATAATAAATTATTTGTCTTTTTAAACAATATTGTTATAAGAAAAATACTACAAATAAATAGTTAACAAGTTATTTGTTTTCCTCAGAAAATATCATTAAATTAATATATTTTCAAAGCTAACTTGTTGTCATGTTAAACGTAATGACAATTATGACATCAATCCATCAATCTATAAAAATGAAAGAGAGAAGCCCAATCTAACCGAGCCATATATGGCCGAATCACTTCACTACGAATTTCCTAATATTTTATTTATTTATTATTTTTTTAGTGAATTACCTTTTTCTAATTTAATTGCTTTTTCTTTCTAGTGAAGTTTGATTGGTTGAAATTTTGGATAAACATGGTCATTTCTATAAAACTATTAGTAGAGAAGAAAAAAGTACCATATTTGTTGAAGATATGATGCTCGAAGGGCATAACATGTGAACCGATATCATGAGAGATTGCCTTAGCCTTTGATCTAGCTTCCTTGACCACTGTTGCAAGCTCTATGATGTCACCTGTCAAGAGCTTGTATGAATTACCTTTATAACCTTGTTCTCTCAACCTCTTCTCAAGCTTCTTTGGCTTCAACCATGCCCATTTTAGTAATTTCCATCCCCACCTCACTATCACAGTTACAAAAATTGCGATCACAACTTTACCCACTGTTGCTACCATTTTTTCTGGAGGAAGATAAGTGTATTTCCACCCGTTGACGTTTTTATGATCTTGATTCTTGAGGGTCTCATCAAATCTGCTCAATTAACGCTGAATTATAAAAGTAGTCCCTGATCTATTTCAACACCTAACACTTATTGAGTTATTTCCAACCATTTTATTTCGGGAAAATGATTTAAGAGGGTAACTACCTTTTATCCGTGTTCACATATTAGCAACTTCTTCTTTTTTGTACATAATAAAGCAACTAACTTGTTTTAACTGTTTAAATTACACCAATATTATCGGCTAATATATGTTTTAACCAGTAACTCAAAGGGAAAATGACTTAGGAGGGTAACTACCTCTTATCCGTGTTCACATATTGACAACTTCTTATTTTTTGTACATAAGAAAACAACTAACTTGTTTTAACTGTGTAATATCCCAAAAATCATAACCAAAAAATTTATTTTTAATTTAATACTAAAACCATAATTGTCAAACCATTAATTTAATACTTCGGCATCGGGCCCCCGCCCGACATCAAGCCCGGCCTGGCATCGAGCCCCGCTCGGTATACAGATATGTCTCTCTTAGGCCTCGCCTGTCTCCGGGGCCCATCCGCTAAACACATACAATCATCTAACATGCTAACACATAAAGAAACATACTCTACTGTATCTCTGTCCTAAGAAACATACTCTGCTAATAATGAGATACAAAACTTCGTCCGTATTCAGCTAGTTCCAGCCAGGGCTTCAGCAGTGCAAGGTGAGTCTCCTCACTGTGTGAATGGGTCTAAGGCCATAATGCCAGCCCATGTAGTCTATGAGTAGGAAGACTCGAGGGTTAGCCATAGACATTGTTTGCTAGTATGTTATTCTAGACCA